CCTAATCTTTCCTCTGGTAGCTTGGTCCCAGAAGGGTACCCACCTAATGTAGCCTGAGCTCTCTTCTAGGTTTTTTTTTTTTTTTTTTTTTTTTGATGGGGAGCTGCTTGAGGATATAGTCTGTCCCTTGTTTGCCTGCTGAGTCACTGCTGGGCTTCAGCCAAGCTCCTATATAGTCTTCCCCTGGCTTTTGTTTACTCAGATGTGATTAGCCCCACCTTCACAATGGAGGACTCCCTTCCTCCCACCAAGCTCAATCATCTCAGCTCAAGCTTGAACTGATGTGCTGGCTATGAAACTCTCAAGTGAGAGGGCTTCAGTTTGCTGGGCTTTTGGGGTGAGACCTGCTAAGCCATATCACCTATCTCCCTGCTTTCAACTCTCCCTCTTTCTGGGGGTTAGGTAGCTCTGTCCAGCAGGCATTCTTGGTGCTAGTCAGGTTGTCCATCCAGATTTGTGCTGACAAACCACGGTGCCCACCGCATCTGTTGCTCCGATTTATGCTGACAACTTGCAGCAGTTTTGGCTGGGATCTCCTGTTCTGTGGGTTGCAGACGGCTTGGGAGAAGCACAGAAGGGCACCCACTTGAACCGGAGTTTCAAGCGGGGAGGAGTATCTGAACCAGAGTGCCAGTGGGGAGGGAGAAGTCCCTGATCCTCCAGTCAGTTGCACTTCCTGGGTTGGGCAGCTGCCCACTCTGCCTCAGTTCACCCTCTTTGGGCTACACCCACTGTTCAACCAATCCCATTGAAATGAACCTGGTACCTTGATTGGAGATGTGGAGATCACTTGGCTTCTGCATCTCTTTCATTGGGAGCTGCACTCTGGAGTTGTTCCTATTCGGCCATCTTGGTGGAAGTCAAAATGTTTTTTAATTTACTTAAAACTTTGGGGCTTTTTTCCTTTATATGTAAAATGGAAACAATGAAAATCGCCTTTTTTAACAAGATGTTTAAAAAGTCAATGAGATAATGTTTATAAAAATATTTTGTAAGTCATAAAAAATTTTACATGTGAGCAAATTTTTTAAGTATTAAATTATGTAAAATAATTCAAGCAAATCTTATAGGAACCAATTATATTTGGTTTATTGCAGCACACCAGTGTCTTTCATAGTGCTAGACATATAGTATGTGCTAAACAAAAACATCTTAAATAAATAATTATGTTCCATTGGTAAAACTTGTGATAAATAGTTTAAATTTATAGTGAAATCTAAATAGTACAGTTCATGACAGTACATTAATGAACAATTTTTAATGAAAACAAATTAACATTTTCCCGGAATTCTTTTATTAGCTAATATGATTTTTTATATTTAGAAATTAGCCATTAGTTGATTTTTGCATTTGAACAAAATTCATAAACATATGTTCAACAGAATGAGAAACAATGTTTTTTCTGAGGTCTACCAATATAGGAGGACAATAAGTCATAGTAAAATTTTTCCATGAAATTTTCATTGCTTAAATCTTTTGAAATTGCTACTTCAGTTTTAAAAGTTTCATTCTATGCACATTATTTATCATCACATACTTTCATTTATCCTGTTACAGGATGAATGGATAAATTTTCTAGCACTTTTTCTGGGTTTTACTTAGAAGGAACTCAGAAATGGTGCTAGAAAATTTACTTTGTTATCAACCAAGGAGATACCAAAATGCACCAAAAATGCAACACATCATCTATTTTCTTAGAACATAAAAAATTTTAGATGTGTTGTTTAATTTGTGAGGCCATTCTTTTCTTTGAACATCAATATCCCTTGATCGTGTTCCCCAGGCTTCTGTGGCAGAAAGCAAAGGTGAATTAACTATACCTTTAGAGATGCTTATTTTAGGAAATGGTTTGAAATGCAACCAATTAGGAAACACCAGAGATATTACCAGTAGTATCATATAATATTGTTTTTGTTGATTCTGTCCTCAACACTTAATCTATTTCCCTGGTGAGAAAGTATAAATAGAAGATATTACGTTATTTATTTTATGTAGTTATAATAATCTCTTCTTTTACATATGTATGTTTGTACAACTTTTGTTTAAACCATTTTTTTGTCCACTTGTTTTTATAATTCTTCACCAATATGCAAATGTAATTGCCCAAAGAAGATAAAATATGGATAGTTATAGTTAATATTTAAATGTCAAAACGTAAATTTTAATACCAAGAATAGACATGCGTGAGGGGAATAGGTGGGATATTGTAGTGGCTTTTGTTTGGTTAAGAGAATTGAATGGTTAAGAAAAAACAGGGTCACAATTATTAACATTTCTGAAGTGTCTCTGTTTGGCTAGACATTTCATTCATTCCAGAAAAGTGATATAACATTCATCTTCAACAAATTTGCATTGCTACATCTTCCCAAAGAGGTAAGTTTCCAGCTGTAGAGGTTGAGCTCTTTCAGCATGCGTCACTTGGCCATCACTGAAATGTTGAATGAATTAGATCTATTTTTAAAATTATTATTCCTGGTACTCAGACATGATCATTTTTCTCTTCCAATGAGATAGTGTCTGACCATTTGACTCATCCCAGAGTGACTCCAGGGCAGACTAATAGTGGAGTTTTAAACTCCAAATGGTTAAGCTTAGTTGTAATGCAGATAACTGTCAGATTTATGGAACAGGAGCTCTTTAAGGCTGTGGTAACAAAGAGAGCTCTCCCTACAAAATCAAAAGGTAACTCTTAAGTCACCTTTTAAAAATTTCAGTTTGAATCACAATGAAAACCTTTCATTTATACAAAAATGTAGAAAAGTGCATTTGTTTGAAATCTCGGGTCCCAACTTCACAAGAATCTTTTATATGATGGTTTTTGTTCAAAATCAATTTTTAAAAGTACTATCTATGTAAAATAAGCCAGCGCATTTCTAAATCCTTTAAATTTTACAAAGAAGCCATTATGTCTATCCAATATGAATAGACTTAATGTGTGTTTGTGTAAACATAAAAATCTAATTTCATGTTTTCAAAATATTTTTAATGCACTTTCATGTATCCAATTTTTTAAAATTTCAATAGGTTTTTGGGGGAATAGTTGATGTTTGGTTACGTGAATAAGTTCTTTAGTGGTGATTTCTGAGATTTTTGGTGCACCCATCACCCTAGCAGTGTACACTGTACCCAATGTGTTGTCTTTTATCCCTCACCCCCCTCCCATCCTTTTCGCTGAATCCTCATATGTCAGCTCCCACATATGAGTGAGAACACATGACCTTGGTTTTCTATTCCTGAGTTAATTCACTTAGAATAATGGTCTTCAGTTTCATCCAGGTTACTGCAAATGCCATTATTTCATTCCTTTTTATGGCCGAGTAGTATTCCACAGTACATGTATTAGTCTGTTCTCATGCTGCTAATAAAAACATACCTAAGACTGGGTACTTTATAAAGGAAGTAGATTTAGTAAGTTCACAATTCCACATGGTTGGGGAGGCCTGGAAAGGCAAATGAGGGGGAAAGGAACAACTTACATGGCAGCAGATAAGAGAGCTTATACAGGGGAACTCCCATTTATGAAGCCATTAGATCTCATGAGACTTATTGACTATTACAAGAACAGCATGGGAAAGACCCACTCCATGATTCAAGTACCTCCCACTGGGTCCCTCCTACTACATATAGGAATGATGGGAGCTCTGATTCAAGATGACAGTTGGGTGGGGACACAGCCAAAGCATATTAGTATTTATATACCACATTATTCTTTATCCACTCATTGATTGATGGGCATTTGGGCTGGTTCCATATTTTGCAATTGTAAATTGTGTTGCTATAAACATTCATGTGTAGATATCTTTTTCTTATAATGACGTATTTTCCTCTGGGTAGATACCCAGTAGCAGGATTGCTAGATGCAATGGTAGATTTAATTTTAGTACTTTAAGGAATCTCCAAACTGTTTTCCGCAGTGGTTGTACTAGTTTACATTTCCAACAGGAGTGTAAAAGTGTTCCCTTTTCATCACATCCACGTCATCTATTTTTTTTTTTATTATGGCAATTCTTGTAGGAGCCAAGTAATATCACATTGATCTGCATTTCCCTGATAATTAATGATGTTGAGTGTATTGTTCTTATGTTTGCTGGCCATTTATATATCTTCTTTTGAGAATTGTCTATTCATGTCATTAGCTCACTTTTTGGTGGGATTGTTTCTTTTGTGTTTGCTGATTTGCTTGAGTTTTTTGTAGATTCTGGATGTTACTCCTTTGATGGATGAAGAGATTGAGATGATTTTCTCCCACTCAGTGGGTTTTCTGTTTACTCTGCTGATGATTTCTTTTGCTGTGCAGAAACATTTTAGTTTAAATAATTCCTATTTATTTATCTTGTTTTACTTGTATTTGCTTTTGGGTTCTTGGTCATGAAGTCTTTGCCTAACCCAATATCTAGAAGGTTTTTTTTCAATTTTATCTTCTAGAACTTTTATGGTTTCAAGTCTTGGGTCTAAGTCTTTGATCCATCTTGAGTTGATTTTTGTATAAGATGAGAGATGAAGATCCAGATTTATTCTTCTACATGTGGCTTACCGATTATCCCAGCATCATTTGTTGAACAAGGTGTCCTTTCCCCACTTTATGTTTTTGTTTGCGTTGTCAAAGATCAGTTGGATGTAAGCATTTGGCTTTATTTCTGGGTTCTCTATTCTGTTCCATTGGTCTACATGTCTACTTTTATACCAGAACCATGCTGTTTTGGTGACTGTGACTTTATAGCATAGTTTAAAGTCAGGTAATGTAATGCCTCCAGATTTGTTCTTTTTGTTTAATCTTGCTTTGGCTATGTGTCTTTTTCTGGTTCTATATGAATTTTAGAATTCTTGATTTCTCCTTTCTAGTTTTGTAAAGAATGATTGTGATATTTTCATAGAAATTGCATTGATTGATAGGTTCCTTTTGGTGGTGTGGGCATTTTCACAATTTTGATTCCACTCATCCATGGGCACGGAATGTGTTTACACTCGGCAGTGTTCCCTACTTTTCCTTTTAGAGGTCTTTCACCTCCTTGGTTAAGTACATTGCTAAGTGTTTTGTTTTTGTTTTTTGTTTTGCAGCTATTGTGAAAGTGGTTGAGCTCTTGATTTCATTCTCACCTTGCCCACCATTGGCATATAGCAGAGCTACTAATTTTTGTACATTAATTTAGTATCCTAAATTCATTTACCAGTTATAGGAGATTTTTGGATGAGTCTTTAGCATTTTGTAGGTATACAATCATGTCATCAGTGAACAATGACAGTTTGATTCCCTCATTATCAATTTGGGTGCCCTTTATTTCTTTCTCTTGCCTGATTGCTCTGGCTAGGACTTTCAGTATTATGTTGAAAAGAAGTGGTGAAAGTGGGCATCCTTGTCTTATTCCAGTTAAAAGGGGAAATGCTTTCAACTCTTCCCGTTCAGTTTAGTGTTGACTGTGGGTTTGCCATAGACAGCTTTTATTACCTTAAGAAATGTCCCTTCTATGCTGATTTTGCTCAAGTTTTACTCATAAAGCAATGCTGAATGCTGTCAAATTCTTTTTCTGAATCTATTGAAATTATCATGTGATTTTTGTTTCTAATTCTGTTTATGTGGTGTATTACATTTATTAGCTTACATACATTAATCTATCACTGCATTTCTTGTATAAAACCCACTTGATCATGGTAGATTATCTTTTTGATATGCTGTTAGATTCAGTTCATTATTATTTTGTTGAGGATTTTTGCATCTATGTTTACCAGGCCTATTAGTCTGTAGCTTTCTTTTTTGGTTATGTTCTTTCCTGGTTTGGGTATTAGGGTGACACTGGCTTCATGGAATGATTTAAGGAGGATTTCTTCTTTTTATATCTTTTGGAATAGTGCCAATAGGATTGTTACCAATTCTTTGAATATCTGTTAGAATTCAGCTGTGAATCTGTCTGGTTATAGACATTTTTTTTTGTTATTGGTAACTTTTTAACTACTATTTTAATGTCACTGAATTTTTATTTCTTTCCAGCTTAATCTAGGAGGATTATATATTTCCAAGAATTTATCTATCTCCTCTAGAATTTCCTAGTTTATGCGTATAAAGGTGTTCACAGTAGCCTTGACTAATCTTTTGTATTTCTGTGTTAATGGTTATAATATCTCTTGTTTCTTTTGTAATTGAGCTTATTTTTATTTTCCCTCTTCTTAATCTCACTAATGGTATATCAATTTTATTTATTTTTTAAAGAATCAGTTTTTTGTTTCATTTATCTTTTTTATTATTTAATTTAATACTGCTCTGATTTTTTTTTTTTTTCCTGCTGCTGGATTTGGGTTTGCTTTGCTCTTATTTCTCTAGTTCCTTGAGGTGTGACCTTAGCTTGTCTCTTTGTGCTCTTACAAACTTTATTATGTAGGCATTAACAGCTATGAACTTTCCTTATAGCACTGCTTTTGCTGCTTCTCACAGGTTTGATAGGCTGTGTGACTATTATCATGCAGTCAAGGAATTTTTTAATTTCCATATTAATTTTATAGTTGACCTGATCATTTAGGAGCAGGTTATTTAATTTCCCTGTATTTGCGTGGTTTTGAGTGTTCCTTTTGGAGTTGATTTCCAATTTTATTCCACTGTGGTCTGAGAATACTTGCTTTAATTTCAATTTTCTTAAATTTATTGAGAACTGTTTTGTGGTCTATCATATGGTTTATCTTGGAGAAAGTTCTATGGGCTGATGAATAGCATGCAAATTTTGCAGTTGTTGGGTGGAATGTTCTGTAAGTATCTAAGTTCTAAGTCTAGGATACAGTTTAAGTTCATTGTTTCTTTGTTGGCTTTCTGTCTTAATGACCTATCTAGTGCTGTTTGTGGAGTAATTGAAACCCCCCATTATTATTGTTTCTGTCAATATCATTTCTTAGGTCTAGTAGCAATTTTTAAAAAAATAAATTTGGGAGATCCAGTATTAGGTACATGTGTACTAAGGAATGTGATATTTTCCTGTTGGACTAGTTCTTTTATCAATATATAATGTCCCTCTTTGTCTTTTTTAACTGCCATTGCTTTAACATTTGTTTTGTCTGATATAAAAATAGTTACTCCTGCTCGCTTTTGATGTCCATTTGCATGGAATATCTTTTTCTACCCCTTTACTTTAAGTTTATGTGAGTCCTTATATGTCAGGTGAGTCTCTTGAAGAGAGCAGATACTTGGTTGGTGAGTTCTTATCTAGTCTTCCATTCTGTATCTTTTAAGTGGAGCATTTAGGCAATTTACATTGAACATTAGTATTGAGATGTGAAGCACTATTTGTTCACTGTGCTTTTTGTTGCCTGAATACCATGTTGTTATTGTTTTTTGTGTTATTGTTTTATAGGTCCTGTGACATTTATGCTTTGAAAAGATTCTTTTTTGTGTGTTATTTGAGAATTTGTTTTAATATTTAGAGCTCCTTTTAGCAGTTCTTGTAGTGCTGGTTTGGTAGTGGCTAATTCTCTCAGGATCTGTTTGTCTGAAAAAGACTACCTTTCCTTTAGTTATAAAGCTTAGTTTCCCTAGATACAAGATTCCTGACTGATAATTATTTTCTTTAAGGAGGTTAAATATATGACTTCAATGTTTTCTCGCTTGTAGAGTTTCTGCTGAGAAAACTGCTTTTAATTTGATAGGTTTCCTTTATAGATTACGTGATGTTTTTACCTCACAATTCTTAAGACACTCTCCATCATCTTGTCTTTAGATAACCTGAGGACTATGCACCTAGGCAACGATCTTTTTGTGAATTTCCCACGTGTTCTTTCAGCTTCTTGTATTTGAATGTCTGATCTCTAACAAGGCTGGGGAAGTTTTCCTCAATTATCCCCTCAAATATGCTTTCAAAACATAAACTTAGATTTCTCTTCTTCCTTGGGAACACCAATTATTTTAGGCTTGGTCCTTTAATGTAATCCCAAACTTTTTGGAGGGTTTGTTCATATTTTTTTATTTTTAGTTTTTGTCTTTTCTGGATTGTGTTAACGTAAAAGCCTTGTCTTTGAGCTCTGAAGTTTCTTCTTCTGCTTGTTTGATTCTGTTGCTGAGACTTTGTAGTTCATTTTACAATTCTCTCAGCGTGTCTTCGATTTCCAGAAGTTGTGATTTTTTTTTGTTTGTTTATGCTATCTATTTCACTGGAGATTTTTCCATTCATATCCTGTGTCTTTTTTTCTTTTTTGAAATTGGACTTCACCTTTGTTTGGTGCCTCCTTGATTGGTCTTTTTTTTTCTGGCAATTCAGAGATTTTTGTCTTCTTTTGGATCCATTGCTGGTGAGCTAGGGTGATCTTTTGAGGGTGTTAAAGAACTTTGTTTTGTCATAGTGCCCAGATTATTTTCCTGGTTCTTTCTCTTTTGGGTAGACTATGTTAGAGGGAAAATCTGGGACTCAAGGGCTACTCTTCAGATTTTTTTGTCCCACAGTGGTGCTCCCTTGATGTGGTGTTTTCCCTTTTCCTCTAGGGTTGGGGCTTCCTAGAGCAGAACTGCAGTGCGTGTTATTTTTTTCTGGATCTAGCCACTCATCAGAGCTACCAGGCTCTGGGCCAGTACTGGGGAGTGTCTGCAGAGTCCTATGATGTGATCCATCTTCAGCTCTCTTGGCCGTGGGTACCAGCACCTACTCCAGTGAGGGTAGAAGAGGAGTGAAGTGGACTCTCTGAGGGTCCTTGGCTGTATTTTTGTTAAGTGTGCTGGTTTTGTGTTGGTTGACCTCAAGCCAGGAGGTGGTGCTTTCAAGTTGCATCAGCTGCAGCTATATAGGGAGGATCAGGTGGTGGGCAGGGCCACAGAGCTCCCTAAAATTTGTGTCTTTTGCATTCAGCTACTAGTGCCGGTAGAGAGGGACCTTCAGTTTGGGGCAGGATTAGGTGTGTCTGAGCTCAGACTGTCCTTGGGTGGGGCTTGCTGTGGCTGCCTTGGAGGGTAGAGGTGTGCCTTCCAGGACAATGGATTTATGTTCCCAGGGGGATTATGGCTGTCTCTGTGATCTGTGTCACACAGATCACCAGGGAAGTGGGGGAAAGCCAGCAGCCACAGGCCTCAACCAGTTCCCACAAAACCCACATCACAAAAGTCCAGTGTCACTGCCACCATGTCCTTTCCTCCCCCCACCAGCACTGAGTTTATTTCCAAGTAGCCAGTGAGTAATGCTGAGAACTTGCCCCAGGCTCTAGCCCTCTCAACTGAGAAAGCAAATGAACTCACAGTTCCTCAGCTGTCTCACGGAGCCTGCAGAGGCAGACCACCTCCTTCAAAGAGTCTGTGGGTTCTCTTGGCTTTCCTGGTATGTTTCTACAGTAGTTCTTGGAGCCGAAGTTCATGATGTGGGTCTTCACACACTGCTCTGTCTGTTTGAGTGGAACCTTCAAGTTGGTCATAGCTCCTACCCCCCATGTTGCCAGGCTATCCCCCTAAGAATAATTTATTGATTATACTTGGATAAATATGTAGGGTTCTTTTAATGAAAACTATAGTATAAAAAGAGTAAGTTTATTGTTCAAAGGGGAAGAAGGAACAAAAAAAAATAAAGCAGACCTAAAACAAAAAAAGATTCTGGTAAATGTTATTTTCTTATATTTTCTGAGGACAAGAATATTGAAAAATACTTAGTTAAAGCTTTAACTGTGTTATGCCAATGAAAAGAGTCAAATTCTGTGAAATACTTGAATAGGTTTATTCTGAGACAAATATAAGTTACCATGGCATGTGCCACAATCCTCAGGAGGTCCTGAGAACATGTGACCCAGGGTGGTTGGGGTGCAGTTTGGTTTTATACATTTTAGGGAAACATGAGATTTCAATCAAATACATTTATGAAAGACATTGGTTTCATCCAGAAAGGCAGGACAACTGGAAATGGGGGCTTTCAGCCTATATAGGGAAATTTAAGTATTTTCTAGTTGACAATTGGTTGAATTTGTCTAAAGACCTGTTGTCAACAAAATGGAATATCTCTGGGTTAAGATAAAGAATTATGGAGACACAAGTCCTTATTTGCAGAGGAAGCTTCAGGTAGTAGGCTTCAGAGAAAACAGGTTGTAAAATGTTTCTTATCAGAATTAAAGTCTGTGTTGAGGTTAATATTAGAGAGGGGTAATGAGGCATGTCGAACCCCACTTCTCATCATGGCCTGAAACAGTCTCTTATGTTAAATTTTAAAAGAGCCCTGGCTGAAGCGGAAGTCCACTCAGATGGTTGAGGGGCCTTAGAATTTTATTTTTGGTTTACAATCATGTTATCTTGTTATGTGTGTGTGTTTTTCTTTTCTCAGTTTTTACTTACCCTCAAAAAGGAAACATGTTCATAAATATGTATTAAATCACTAGAGCAATCTCTATACTGAGAAAATGTTGTGTGTATGGGTGTGGGTGTATGCTTACAGTCTGTTTAATTCCGGGTTTTTTGTTTGTTTGTTTGTTTGTGTGTTTTTTTGTCAAACAAGCTGCTAACCTCCACCCAGCATCCCTTCACCCCACTCTACAACTATTGCAAGATCTTTTTTTTTTTTTTTTTCTTTGTCGTTGATACGTTGCCCAAACCAGAATGAAATAACGTGTGTTCATTACTGTCTTCCTGGTAGTTTTAATGAGGTCATTTCCCCATTCTTTCCTCCAGGACAGACTGTACTTTCACTGTTGAGCCTCAATCTTTGAGCAGAAACTACAGATATGTGATAGGACTCATGTCAGTTTGGTAAAGTAACTCTTTCTCCCCTTAATCCAACTTTAGATGACAAGAGTTAATGAGATCTGAGAAGCACAACTTTAAACTCATCCAGTAGCTAAAAATCAGTGGATTTTCTAGCACAGTATTTAAGAATAGTAGACTTTGCTGCAAAAGAGCCAGTCAGGAGCCTTTCTTCCCAAACACAAATATCTGAATACCCAAGCCCAAAAGAAGTGAAGATGAAGCTTGGAACTCCCTTCTGATGAGGAATGATTGTGGGAGCTAGTGTGAGGTCCTGTTTTGGGCTAGGCACTTTTTCTGATTAGATTCATAAGTTTGGCATGCTCAATTTTCTTGTACACAGCCTGAAAAATGTAGCAGAAGTTTATGTAGGAGTACAATGGAAAGAATCTTTGAAAAGGGAAAATATTCAAAGTTCTTCAAAGTTCATCTTCTTCCCCCTATTTTTTTTCCAATGTGCACATTTTCTAGCAACTCTTCCCTTAGCACCTCCCCAAATCTCCACTCCCTTGTGCACACATACAGGCCACTTCCTATCATATTGGAACCTGCTGAAATAGATTATATCCTCACCATAGGAAAGCTTTCCTTTGTGACTTCATCTTTTTGCAATTCAGAGTCTACTTATACAGAGTGCATGGCACTGCTGGACCATTATGAAAAAGAGAAAACACTATTTTCTTTATTCTCTGCCAAGAGACCATCTCATTTTATTGCAATTTCAAAGAAAACCTTGTAAATGCAGCTGGGGAAATAAATGTACAAAACAAAACCTGTAGCCAGTCATTCTTTACTTATTGACTAAATATATAGCAGGTTCTTTGTTTTGCAAAGATGATCACTGGTTTCGATTTTCAAAATTTCCTAGAAAAGAAAAAACAATCAAATAATTATTTGGTTTTAAATTTGTATAATTGGGAAATCGCCAGTATAACACATGCAATTAACCATTTTCGTCTTACACCTTTTTTACTTGCTTATTTAACCTGACTCTAAATTTATGTTGTTTAAAA